ATTACATACATACATTACATACATACATTACATACATACATTACATACATACATTACATACATACATTACATACATACATTACATACATACATTACATACATACATACATTACATACATACATTACATACATACATTAATACATACATACATACATACATTACATACATACATACATACAAACATACATACATACATTACATACATACATACATACATACATACATACATACATACATACATACATACATACATACATACATACATACATACATTACATACATACATACATAAATATATTATATACATAGATAGGTATCCCCCTACTTGGATTTGCTTTTCAGGGCCCACAAGAAAGATTTTATGCGGGGATATCCCGGAATTACATGGAGGATTCGAGCTCAGCAAGGGGAACTCAGCCAGTTTCTGTAGATTTCCCTTGAACCAATCCAGTGAACTATATGTATTTGTTAATTATCCATTAGAAATAACTACATTGTCAAGTGAGTTCATTAGAAATAACTATATATATATTATCACTAGGATATTATCCATTAGAACTATATGTAGTTCTTATCCAGTTAATAACCACTAGTGAAATAAGAACTATATGATCCATTAGTGAGTTTAGAAATAACAACTATATTGGGTATCTAAAATCATTATCCATTTGTTGTTATTAGTGATTTGAGATACCCAATATATTTCAATATATATATATACATATGGCTGAATTCAGATAATTCACTGGCCTGAAAATAGCTGAAAATTGCGGGCATTTGGGGATTGCCAACTTCATCCAGATACATATCAATCTTATTCGTTAAATTTCACTAATAGTCCATGCACTCTCTATTTGTTCTTATTAGCTAAATTCATATGCCCACACTATGTATCCTATATATATATACATACACATTCCGGTAATCAAACAATATATCCATCCAGAAGAATATCCACACGTGTGTATATATATATACATATATATATATACGTATATGTACGTATGTATATGTGTGTGTGTGTATCCATGTTATGCAAATATATAGCCATTTTTTTGTCTCATTATCCATTGGTGTTATCAATTATTTTATATGTTCACTATATATATATATATTATCACATTTACATCCCAAATCTACATATATCCGATTGCTTGTTATATACATGGGAATCGCTTTTGGATATGGATGTTATTACCAATGGATATATCCTATATGACAACTATCTCTTGTTGTTATTAGTCATCTGTTTGGGCATGTCTGAAAATGGTGCATATCCATCAAATAGCCAATTTCAATGGGAAAAAACATGATGAACCATCAACTTTGGAACCTATTTTCAGACAGACCCATGTTCCCATGGTTTTCATTTTCAAAGGAATTTTTTTAAAAAAAAAAACAGGGTACCTGCGCAGTTGAAAAGACAAAAAATTGGATTTCCCATTTCTCATTGTTTCATTAACCAAAATACATGTATATCATATAGTTGACCGGATTCATAACCCATTTCCCACACACCTTGGATGGTTGAAACCCTATAAATCATGGGATGTTTACCACCTATCAACTGGTGATTCGGATTTCGCAACGGCCCATCCACCCTATAGGTACCCGGTGTACCCATCATCCAGCACCTCGGCACTAGAGCCCATGGATACCTGTCCCGCCAGGGCCGTACGCCTCGGTCTGGTATGGTAAATATGGGAACTGGAACCAGAAAATAGGTGGTTTATCCCATTGTTTATAGGGTTTCTACCATTATTTATAGGTGGATAAACCATATGAAATAGAAGATGATGGAAGGAATCCTGCACCACCTTGGATGGTTGAAACCCTATAAGTAATGGGATGTTTACCACCTGTCAACTGGTGTAGGATTTCTTCCATCCACAGTATGGGAGGAAAATATGAGGAAACTATTGGGAATACTGTATATGACGAAAAAACTAGCGGTAAATATGGTTTTTGTGTGAAAATCGGGAAACTCCGAAAATGGTCGAATGGGGAACGTGATCATGAACCAATGGATTTTTGGGGTATGATATTGGACAAACCCAGATCAATTCGGCCATGCTCCAGGTCTAACGTCGTGTGCGGAAAGGGGAAGCGGCAGCAATGATCTTTGGGTGATTCCATTGAGAAATGATCAGCTAACTCAATGATCAGTTCATTTTAGCTCATCATTTAGTTAGCTGATTATGTCCATTAACTCAAATGTCCATGCTAATTAATTTTCACGGCTCATCAAAAAAAAATTCTCAATGATCAGTTAATGAATGGACAATCAATGGAGAATTACCCTCTGGTAAACGTTCACATAGCGAACTGGAAAATCACCATGCTATTAATGGGAAAACTCACTATTTCTATGGCTATGTTCAATAGTTTTGTGTATATTTACCAGAGGGTATGTTCCATTAATCCCTATTGATCACCATAAAATCCCATTAAAGTCCCATTAAATCACCATTTTCAATGGGTAAATTCCCCCATATGTTAAATTACCAGAGGGTAATGGATACTTAAGGCTTAAGGTTATTTGCTACCATCCGGTGTCATCAAAGCTGGTGAAATGTCACTGGGAAATCCCCGCGCTGGAGATGTCAATCAATGGGAGAATCATGAAACTTAATGAAGGATTTGTTAGCAAGCCATCTTTGATTACTGGAGGATATATATATATGTGTATATATATATGTGTGTAGTAGTTCTTTGACCAATATATTGGCACATAAATAGAAGCAAACAAAACCAGCAATCTTGACAAGAACTTAAGTGGAGGTTAATCAACACGAGTATATCAGACCACATGTTATCATCGAAATGCCGTGGGCAAAAGAATTAGGATCAACAGTTGAAAAATTTGAGTAAAGGTACCATTTGTACCGTCCAAGACGGATGGTACATATAGCATGGATAAACTATCATGTTTCTACCCAATCCTAACCATCATTTACAGTTGCAGTGAGGTCTTCAAATTTAGATATATCCAATTTCCATAATATACCGTATAAATATAATCTATTGGCTATATCTCCTCATTTCAGGATTTTTTTTCACCATATCCAACCCCCATTGTTGATGATTAATCCCAGATTCTTCTCAATTATTCCAATGGAATCCCATTCAACAATAATTGATATATCAAGATGAAATATCCCACCTGAATCCCAACAATTATTGATGATATATCCTCCATAAAAGGGGAAATATCCCACATGAATCCCAAGATTGATACCCTCCGGTAAACTAACAGTTTGCTATTGAAAATGACCATTTACAGTGGATTTACCCATTAAAAATAGTGATTTTCCATAGCTATGTGAAAGTTTACCAGAGGGTATATCCCATTCAACCTACGCGGATCATCCCACAAATTAATAAAACCCCGTTTACGGCTGTGACTAATTGGGAGGCTACCATTAAAAAAATATTAGATGAAATGACTACTGGACGAGTACCCCCCCCCCTTTTTTTTCATAAACCATGGTTGATGATACTATGGATATTCCCAATTGTAATCATATAAACTATTGGATAACCATATAAACCATGGTTTAGTCTCATCCGGGGTTGACATTATCCCATAAATCACTGGGTGATTTATTTCCCACTTACGTACCACTTACGTCTTCTCCGTGAGGTGGTCCTCCAAGTAGCCCTGGCTGCCATAAACCTCCAATGTCCATGTTATATGAGCAATTATGCCGAATTCTTCCATATTTATCTTCAATATATCCTGGTTGGTGGTAGACCTACCCTCTGAAAAATATGACTTCGCCAGTTGGGAGTATTATTTCCAATACCCTCTGGTAATTTAACATAGCTATTGAAAATGGTCATTTATAGTGGATTTTCCCATTAAAAATTGTGATTTTCCATAGCTATGTTAAATTACCAGAGGGTATATGGAAAAATAATCCATTCATGTTCCAAACCAACCAACCAGTATCTGTTTGTCTGAAAATGGGCTACCTCCAAAATATGGAGGTTTCCAATCCATGGGGGTGCCCCGAAATCATCCATGTTGTTTGGATGTTCCATTATAAACTATAAACCATCCAGCTATTGGGGTGTCCCCATTGTAGGAAACCCCCATATGTAATACTAATATACTATACTAATATACACTTTATATGTATGCCATAGATATCCCAATAGTTGTTGGTTAAATCCCAATCAATCCCAATCAATCCCAATAGTTAGTAAACTAACATAGCTATTGAACATGGCCATTTAGTTCGTTGATTTACCGACAAAACATGGTGATTTTGCATAGTAAAGATTGTGATTTTCCTCTAAATCATCCATTTTAGTAGGATTTCCCATTATAAACCATCCAGCTATTGGGGTAGCATCCATTATAAACCAACCTTTTTTCACCCATGGCTTTGCCGAAAACCAAAACAAAAACGGGCGCTGGGCCCCCCCGCAGAGAGAACGCTTCCAGGACTTTGTCGCCGCAGGAGCGCGCCAAGACGACGCCCTATGGAGACCATTGATGCGGGTGAAAACAGAAAGGTCCGTGGCTTATTAGATGGTGAAGAGAGTAAACAGATGGGTATGGGTCAAAATTAGGTACCCCAATAATTGGATGGTTAATACTAAACTAGACTAACATCTGTGGTCCCCTAGGTCTTCCATTTTGACCCACATCCAGATAGACAGACAGACAGACAGACAGACAGATAGATAGATAGATAGATGAAACAAGAAAAAATAAGATTGGATAAGATTAGCTTGCATCAGATTAGATTAGTCTAGACTCGATTAGATTAGATAGATAGATGGTAGACAAACAGACAGACAGATAGATGGATAGATGAATGAGTCGATTCTTCTTAAAAATTCTTAGATTGTAGATGGTAGATATATAAATTAGTCTATTCTTAGTATATAGTAGATGTATTGTTTGGTAGCTGGATCTATCATTTGGCCATGGATCAAAACCGCGTCCATGGATCAAAACCGCATCAGTGCGCCCTGGGGTAATCCCAGCCCTGGGGTAATTGTGGACTATCACTATGATGGGTAAAATGGTTCATTTGACTTTCAGGGTAACCCATATATTACTTGGGATAAGCCACACATAACTGGTGATATGCCATATATGTTGCCCAACAAACGGTTTTTTTGTGTACGGGAACCCCCCGTCAAAAGACAGCATTTTTTTGAGGTCGCAACGGCCATGATCCTCTGGAATCCCTATCATTGTGTCACCAGTAGGTAGATCTTAACTATTTTGGTGATACAATGATGGTTAATAAGATCCAAATCTGGATATCATGATGGTATCATGATTGTATCACCATCCAAAATTTTGGTGAAGCCCCATGTTTGCTGGTTTTTTTCTTTTTCTTGGCAAATCCCCCATCCCATTTTCGCCATGTTCGGCGCCTGCATGGCCGTCTCAAGGCCTCCTTCCAAGTCGTCCAAGAGGATCTTGCCTTTAGGGATTGAGCAGCAGGAATCTCGATTTGGAGAAGAAACAAACCAGGCTTACCTGAGTTTTTTAGAGTGATTTTGCATCAAAAGGTTTTGTCAAAAATTGGGGTTCAACCAGCTGAAATGTCACCTTAACCAAACATTGGAATTCAACGTTCAATGGATTGGTTTAAGGGAAAATCTTAACCGGAAACCATCGATGTTCCCATTAAATATGGGGTTTTCCGGTTTCAATTTTCCCTTAAATCAATGGTCATTCCTGGATCCTAAAATGGAGGTATAAGGCCATATTTTGTGGGAAATTTCCCTTACAGAGGCCTTACATAGGCATTATTTATGGTAGGTACCTCCAATTTAGGTTCCTGAAATGGCCATTGATTAAACCAATCCCCTGCATCGAAACCAGCAAAAATGATGGACAGCTGGTCTTAGCCACCTGGATATGACCGAAAACGCGATGGGATTGCAAGCCAGACTGGGAGTCGAAGCTGGTGGCAAAACTGGGACCATTAACGAATCAACAAATTTATAACTCCGGATTTACAATATCTACCACAATATATTTAGTATCTCAATAAACTATAGTAAGTAGATTTGTAGTATTTTGATGTATTTTGTGGTACTGTTAACTATCATGAGATTGGAAAACTCCATTCGTAGCTCCTTGGCTCCGGTTTTGGAATATGGAGCTCCGAATGGCTCTCCCTCCTAACCACTGGAAAGTAGCTTTCGGTGGAGATGTTTTCTCCTGGACTCTTGCGAGTGGCACATGATCTTTGGATTCTGGGGAATGTCTAGACTCAATCCATAATTTGATACCGTCACATCCCCATGTGCGTTTGCGAACTTATGTTCTTTGGTGAAGTGGGTAACCTCTCATAATCCAATCTAGCAATACTGATATGTGGTATGGGTGTCTGAAAATCTGGTGCAGGTGTCCCTAGATCCAGTGCATTAATCATCACTTGCCTCTTCAAAGATGCCATTTGGTATCCATCATTTTCAAACACACCCATATGGCTTTGTCTGAAAATATGGTATCCCCTGAATCCTCTGGTTTCTCATGATATCCCCTATGAAATAGCATGAAATGTGTATCCCCCATTTTCGTTGGCACATCCGATGATGTCATATCAAGTTGGCTATCTCCCCGTTCTATCCTCATATTTGCTGCTTAAATCTCTATCTTAAAATGTCAAACAGACTAACAGACCCATATGGGGTTTTCCTGAAATGTGGCTACCCCCAAATCATCATTTCTATTTTCGGATTTTCCATGAAATAAACCATCCAGCTATTGGGGTACTCCCATTTATGGAAACCACCATATCCATTGACACATGACTTCCATGACCACCCTGGTCTCGGGCCCCAGACTTTGGGCGGCCACGTTGGAAGCTTTCGCCTGGCTCCTGGTAAATCCACTCGAAGGTCAGGAAGAATTTAAAGAATGATCAATGGGACCATCTTTAAGTCTCTCTCCAAAAAATATATATATATATACCCGTATACCCTCTGGTAAACGTTTACACAACTATGGAAACTCATCATTTTTCATGGGTTAATGAACGACCTCAATGGCCATTTTCAAAAGCAAACTGGTACCATAGGGTACCCCAGTTCATGGCCAGTTTGGGAAAATCATGAGCCGCGTATCTTGGGGACCGCGACCACGATATGGAGATGGAGACATTCCCAAAAAAAACATGAATAAGAGGAGTCCAAAAAGAAACAGCTGTGATGTTTGCTCCAACAACCATGTGAACATATTGATATTCACTTTGTTTTATGGTACCATTTGGGTTCAGAAACCTAACCATTTTGGATGAAACATGCTTTAGGTCATGGTGAAATGATCATCTTTGGATGGATCCCCCTTCTTGGGATGGTCAGACTCCGATGCAACATGCGTTTGCCCCAATGATCTTCCTATCAATGGACTGATTTAAAGGAAAATCTTAACCGGAAACAGATGGTTAATGATGGTTAATGATGGTTAATGATGGTTAATGGTGGTTAATGATGGTTAATGGTGGTTAATGATGGATTGGTTTAAGGGAAAAATTGCAGGAAACCATGGATTTCCCCATTTTTCATATGGGGCTTTCCGGTTTCAATTTTCCCCTAAACCAATCCATTGATCCTATGGTTTCCCTGCTGAAAATTAGGGGTATATAGTGTTGATAAAAAACCGGCCGGCTACCTTGTTGAAAAACTGACACTTTTGTTGGTCATTGGTCAATCTCCCATCACCCACAGAAACAGCAGCCACTTCAGGATAATCGTCCAATTTCCAGGTATAAGGAAAAGAGATTCTGGAACCTTCAGCTGAGCCATTGATCATACCCCTTTTGATTGGTTAAGTAAAGGTGGTTGTACGAACTGGTTGATTGGGGATTATAAGAAGCAATAACATACCGATTCGGCAACCAGTATGTCATGGGACGGGAAAACGGGTATTTTTATGGCTCACCTGGGCCATGTTATTGCCAATCCCGGATTTCACAGGTGACAGTGCCACTTCTCTTGGTGAAGTTGTCCCCCTAATGTGCCTCCTCCCCAAGACTGGACAACCTTATTAGGTGGGAAAAGAATCATAAACCTCTATCAGAGGCTTATTCAACCCCTAGTGTTGGGAGGGTACCTTTCTTGGGTGCGCATCCCAGCTTCCAAGTGGGAAATCACCATATGACATCACCCAATTAGATTCATGGATGAAAACCGCGGTTTCATTTTTTATGTGGCTGATTTGATAAACCACTTACCAATAGGGTTTGTCTGAAAATAGGGTATATTCCCAATTATAGCCATTTACTAGGGATAATGATCATTAACCATTGGGTTTAGGAAAGTTTAGGGGTACACTATTTTCAGACACACCCAATAAAGTCCACAACCGCATGGTTCCATCATAACCTGCTGCCTTGTGTCCACCCCTCGCTCCTCTTATCTCCAAGGACCAAGAAGGCACAGCGCGCCTGACGTTGAGACGCCAACGCCGGCAGCGAACGGTGGTGAAGTGACGCTTCTTGAGATGAATGTTATCCAAGGTGGCAACGGAAAATCCCCTATAAATTTGGGATTTCAATGGGAAAAGCATCTGAAAATTGTGGATTTTGCATTGCCATGTTTGATTACCGGAGGGTATACAGATCTGTATAATGTATATATATCTATATATACACATATATATATATATATATATGTGAACAATTTGATCCTTGTTCTGGATTATCCCTTTTGATTGTAGTACCGGTCGTGCTGGTAATGCAGGGCAACGTCACTGCATGGCATTCGGAGAACGGTCTTTTTCCTCACGCATGACTTGAGCCAAGTAATTGGCAGTCCATGCAAAACTGTCTACATGCTCAGCATGTGAAATGGTTGTATTACCTAGTTCCCTTTCGCACCCCCCATGCCTACGGCATCTTCGAACCGTAGGCACGAGAGTGGGAACTTTGAATTAAACCCTTCTGCTGCTCGAATTACGCCTATGTACATAAAGCAAGCCATTCGGCTCCCCCTTCCCCACATACCCGAAGGGAATAATAGTTCAGGGTTCGCCTACTCTATGGCTGTCGATGCATCGGCGCTTCATCAAGCTGTACAACGCGAATTATTGCTAGCTAACATCTACTTTTCTACGTTGGCTAAGCTTGCCACTCACCCGTCGGGAGAAATGGGTCACTTCGCTACCAAAGATTTACGATGCTAATTAACGAATTCACGTGCACATTGCAGAATTTCGTGCAGATTGGGAATATCAAAAGTCTTGATCCTAAGCGAATTAGTCTAATGCCTTGCTCAGAGTCCACTCAGTTGGTCTTTTCCTGATCATCTGTTCATAAAGACGATAAACATCTTATAGTCCAGTGACCATTTTGACGGACAGAGGAAATAAGTTCACTGCTCACGGCGGACTTTCTTCCATTGAGGTGTTGA